CGGTCAATACTACTGGGCTCTCCACTTTGACGATGTCAGCCATTTCTATATCATTGCTTGTCGTCGAAGAGTCTGTCGTGGAAAGCTGAGGCTGCGTATTGCTATCCATCGTGTCGGATGATTGTGTCGGGGAGACCGTTGGTATATGAAGTTGTCCGGGTTCCGCACGCGCTGATTCTTTAGCGTTTGCCGGGATTTGCGGGTTAAGTGAGAAAAGGTTTACATCATCCTTTGCTTGGTAAGCCTTCTGTAGACGGTCCGCGGTAGATTAGAGGATGTCTGCATTAGTAGAATTGACAAGTGGGCTCAGTAGTGCATCCATGCTGCGGGCAAGAATTTTTGGCGCTCTTTCATGTGTGCAGCGGGCCTTGCGCTTGGTGCGGAGATAGTGAATTAAAGCTGCTTTCGTAGCGTCGGGATGTTGTTGGGAGCGGGGATCGATGTTTTTATCAAGCTGCCATTTCCACGTAAGTGCTGCATGTCGTTTCACCTGGGCGACAGAGTCGCTAGAAACACAAAGGCGGATGAAACTGGTGGAGCTTCCGCAGCGATTTGGTTGAGATACCGATTTAGACGGAAGTTACCAGAGAAAGTGGTGGCGATTGAGGACTGGCTGGGCATGCCAGTATTTTTCAAATACTGATTGGGATGGGGGCTTGCCGTTATAGAAAATTGCTTGGAAGAAGAGCCATACCGGAGTTATGTCATCAATTTCATGAAGAGTTTTGTCCGGCATCGGGCGGCCCACCACTTTCGTCAAAAAGTGTTCGGGTACTGGCGGCTGCGATTGGGACTGCAAAGCTGGTGGGGTCGGGCGTTTTTTAGGGCTCGGTTTTGCAGGTTTGTCCACTTTTGAGCGGTAGCTGGGAGGCTCACTGCTGCTATTGGGCGCCTGTGACTGTGGTCTTTTTGCAGGCGGAACAGGCGGGCTCCATCTATAGGTGCACGGGTTTGGGATTTAAGGTCCCGGAGTTCGGATTCAAGGTTGGTTGTTTTTGCACAGAGGTTAGTGAGCATTTGATGTATGGTTGATTTCCATTGGTCTTCGGGGTTGTTAGAGCCGGTCCCAAAATTTGATTGAAATTGGCCTGTAGAGTACTGACCTGGGCAGAGAGATTTGTGATAGATTTTTGTATGTCGAATTTCCATTGGTCATTGGGTAAGGAGTCGTTGGGAACGAACGTCTCAATTGGGGATTCGGCCTGGCGCCACATTTTTCGTGGATGTGGGACTGTGGGACTGTGGGATCCCCAGACTCCCTACGTGAAAATTGCAGTTTTCGGCTGTGGAAAAAGATGGCTCAAGCTCAAGGTCATGCCACGTCTGGTTTTTTTCGAAGGAGGATGAAATTGTGTTCAACGAGCAAGCGGATCGAATGCAGCTAAAGCGTGCTGTGCAGAAATTAGCGGGAATCAAATTGGCTTTCAGATTTGCACACTCGCGCGAGCTACAGGAGGCCAAGATGGATGAATGGAGACAGAAGTTGGATGCTACGCGTCTTTCACAATAAAAAAATAGTCGCAAAAAAGGACACATGCAACAGTCACAAAAAATAAGTCGCAAGCAATAATCACAATAAATAAGACGCATGCAATAGTCGCATATATAAGACGCGTGGAATAGTCGCATAAATAGGACGCATGCAATAGTCGCATAAATAAGACGCGTGCATTGGCGTAGACTCAAAGCAGCAATTGAAGCTGTCGTGTCTGGTTGTGTCTCGGTTTGATGTTGGCGGTTTACCCATAACCAGTTGGTAGTAGTATTGGCGCCGGGCCATTGCCGCGATCTCCTTGTTGGGCCAACGTTTTGTTGAGTTCTTCCTGAAGTCGTCACTGCGTTGGCGGAGAGCTACATGGTCGGGTGTACGCCAGCCCGTGGTTTTGTGTACAGCTTTCAGACGTCGTTCCACTCTTCTTTTGACTGTGTCTCAGATTCCATGGTGGCAAGTGCTTGTGTACGACAGGAGTACCAGTCGCGTAAATAGGACGCATGCAATAGTCGCAAAAATAAGACGCATACCGTGCAATAGTCGCATAAATATGACGCATGCATTAGTCGCAAAAATAAGACGCATATAGTAGTCGCATAAAAAAGACGCGTACAACAGTCACATAAACACGACGCATGCAATATTCACAAAAATATAAATAAGACACATGCAATAGTCGCGCAAATAAGACGCATGTAATAGTCGCATAAATAAGACGCATGCAATAGTCGCAAAAATAAGACGCATACAATAGTCGTATAAATAAGACGCGTGCAATAGTCGTATATATCAGACGCATGCAATAGTCGCAAAAATACGACGCATACAATAGTCGCATAAATAAGACGCATACAATAGTCGCATAAATAAGACGCATGCAAAAGTCGCGCAAAATAAGACGCATGCAATAGTCACTAAAAATAGGACGCATGCAATAGTAGCATGAATAAGACGTATGCAATAGTCGCTTTAATACGACGCATGCGATATTCGCAAAATAAAAATAAAAATTAAGACGCATGCAATGGTCGCATAAATAAGAAACATGCAATAGTAACAAAAAAATTACTCATGCAATAGTAGCATGGATAAGTCGCATGCAATAGTCGCATAAATATGACGCATGCAATAGTCGTATAATTAAGAAGCATGCAATAGTAACAAAAAAGGTAAGCCGCATGCAATAGTAGCATGGATAAAACGCATGCAATAGTCGTATAAATATGACGCATGCAATAGTTGCATAAATAAGAAGCATGCAATAGTAACAAAAAATAATACGCATGCAATAGTTGCATAAATAAGAAGCATGCAATAGTAACAAAAAATAATACGCATGCAATAGTTGCATAAATAAGAAGCATGCAATAGTAACAAAAAAAATACGCATGCAATAGTCGCGTATATAAGTTGCATGCAATAGTCGCAATAGTAAGACGCATACAATAGCCACATAAACTAGGCTCCCTCCATCGCTTTAAACTCAGCTTCCAATTTAGAGTCTCATAAAACTCATAGTGTTGTATATAATCCAAGAACAACTGTGCGTTGCAACTTGCAATATTGGCACGTAGAATTCGGTGGTCTGTTATATCTAACTCTTCTCGGAAAAATGGGGCTATCGCAGACTGAACGAAAGAAGCAGTTTCCATCGGCACGAACATTTCGTAACTTATACATGCCGTCGGGGAGAAAAAGTCGCGTTCCATCATTGATATCGTTCGCATACTTATGGTAGAATTGTCTCGGGGCGTGGGCTGCTTAGGCTGGGGTTGTGCTTCTCGTGCTGGGGCTGGAGCTCCTCGACCTTGTCCTTGCCTTTCCCCTGCCGCGTCTGGATTGCGATTCTCGTCAGCCACTGGAGTGGAAATTTTGCTTGTAGAGTCCATCGTGCACACTTATACCGTAATAGGGTAGCTAATATCTCTTTGAGATAAATAAGAGATGATATCAGTAGGCACTTCAAGATTTCCAAACAATATACACTCACTATCATAATTAATTACTGTCAAATTATACAAATAATGACACGATCCGACGATACAACCTAATTTGGGATCTAAAAGTTGTAATGTTGTTATTTTGTGTAGCTTTCCTTGACCGTGTGTTGGGTATATGACATGCTTTCCTTTTCAGTCATAGATATAGTAATAAAATTGAAATGGGGTCGTCAGTTACAAGGATTTTATTTATTTGTTTTGCTTTTTGTATGCGTATGTCAGACTTGTCAGTGTCTCAGCGACAATCTCCCAACTTCAAATGTATGGCTGGCATAAAGCCGCATAAACACCTATATATCAGCAATAATCGTTTTTTAACTCGCGTCATGGTTTTATTTTTAAAACTATTATATTACAGCATGGTTTTATTTATCTATATTTTCTACGATGTTTTTATTAATAAAATGGCACTGCAAGTTGTTTTTATTTATTTATTTATAGATTACGTTGTTTTTATTAAAGCCAAGTGTACTCGTGTAAGCCACATAATTGGCTTATAATTGGCGCGTTAAAGACAGGAGTAAATATTGAAAGCAAACATGTTGTCAATATATTAATGGCAGGCATATGCTTCACAGCGTCAGGTCGCAGGCGACAGCGTCAGACTTAATGGTCGCAGTCGAGAGTCGCAGGCATAGTGGTCGCAAGACCCGGTCGCAGTCTTAGTGGTCGCAGTCTTAACAAATCTCCAAAAAGTATCGAGTGTTCAACTGTTCATACTTCAGTCTTCGTAGCTTACTGTACTTTTTTTTGGTTTCAATTTTGAAATAATTTAAAAAAACAAGGAAGTTTTTCTTGTTTTGTTATTTTTTTTATCGAGGCGAAGGAGTCACGGTCTTTTTAAATTTTTAACATTTGCCTTTTTTTTTTTTGCAGAATCGAACATACAATTTCATAAAATCAGCCTTCTCTACGGTAAAGTTATATTTATTACACACAAGGGGGCCCAGTTTTTGTTTAAAATATATGATTTTTTTTTGAAACAAAAACTCGACAATAGTCGTTTTGACAAAATCTTGCACATGCCACATATGTACTAAATAGTTGTGATATTTTGTAAAAGTACCCGTGTCTTCTATTTTTCTATTTCACACTGTTCATGGAAAGTTTTTTGTATTTACTTACTGGCCGTCTGACCCTATATCACCACTTATGAATAAGTCTTCCAATGGAAGACAAACCAAATTTCTGGCCCTAAATATTTATTTTTTCTTTTTGAAATTTCCGTTTTGTCTTTCGTTGGAAGACAAAACGGATAGTCGGTTACAACAGTACAATTTTCGATATGAACCCGTTTTCGGATGGCCCTGATTTACCCCGCAACCGTTTCCTTGGGCAATTTTGGGTCTAGTAGCCAAGTGACACATGTTTTACTTCGCATATGGCACCATACAGCAGCAATAGCGCTCCTCCAACCTGCAGTTATGTATATACTTTTAATTATACCAAGAAGTGTAGCTTTTTAAGGATAACTTGTAATCACTTAGAGACGCATCCAAAGCAAATCAATGAGTAGTAGTAGAGGAGGATGTGGCGGTGGACTCTCGCGTCCTCCGCCCACTAACACGATGTGGACAGGTGGATTCACTAACGCGCAAATGGAAAGTAGAGAACTGAACGAAGGAGTTATACAATCAATGGAGGACGATAGAAACAACATGAATCATGCACCCGCAGAGCTAGGAGATCAAGGTGAGATTGTTGTTATTGTGGTGTAGCGTTAAGGAATGTTTGTGTATGTTTCATCAATGTGTAAATGTATATATCTTTCAATGATCGCATGCATTGAATCGCATGCAATGTCAATTTTATTTTATGTTATATAGTTATTATATAGTTATTATATTGTATTTACTAAAAGTGTATATATATAATCGTGAGAAATGTACTTTGTGCATACGTGTGTATCTTTCATAAATAAATGTAATTGAATTATAAGTATATCTGATCGCATGCTCTGCGTTTGTGTACTCTATAAATACATAACGTAATGCATGTAATTATAAATTTAATCAAGCTAAGTAACTCAACAATACAATATCGGGGGCTGCAATGGTCGAACGGGTTCTCTGTGTTTTGTTGCGTGTGCAATATATCTTGTACGAGCAAACATGTGTGTGTGGTCTGCAATGGTTGAGTGCACTACGAGTTTGCTAATATGCGTTACGACACTTGTGAATGTGACAAGTGTACCAAATGTAATAGCTGTGGTGCTGCTATTAGTATAAGCCATAAGTGCAACCAGTGTGGCTTATCCGTGCATCTGTTCGACGCGTGCTCGTCTGCCTGAGACGATGGTAGTGAAGGGTACGGTGTGGGGCGAATGTGTCTACGATGTTCTCCACATGAGAGCCTAGGGAGTATGATTGAGCTTTCTGATGTATCTTCAGCACGAGAGATGCCATCGATTGCTACTGCAGTCAATACGGCCAAGAAGACAGCTAATAATAAGTCATCTACTACTAAGAAAGTGCCTGCAACTAAAAAGGCACCGACAAAAAAAGCTGGCACGAAGTCTGCGCCCAGAGGGAAGGGTCTCTCTATTCCGGTAGCAAAAGAGAGAACAGTCAGGCAACAGAAGCAACAGGGAATGTATGCCGATGACTTAAAATTGTGAAAGGTCGATACAATACCAGCAGTACGCCTCATATACGAGAATGCTTTTGTAGATATACACGTCGGTCAGCGCACAAAAGCACATGCGAGCACTATCAAGGAACGTATCGATGCGATGGCACTCGAAACTGATGTGAATGGTAGAGTGAATGGTGCTAGTTTATACCTTACACTTATTGAGGGCATCTTACCTAAGTTACTCCAATGACTCAAAGCCGTGGCCTTGTCCAAATATCTGATATGTAAAATGGAAAAGGTATTAATTAATTAAAAAACCGTTAAAAATCATTTAGGAGACTTAAGTTCGTCGCACTATTAAGAGTACGTTTATAATTTACGTACTGCTTAAGAGTACGTTTACAACATAGAGTCTAATGTGGAGGGGCTATTACATATCTATATGTGTCGGACCCTTTGAAATTGGCGTCTGTCGAGGAGTGGGAACTGAAGTCGTTCATATCTATGCACATTGGATTCGGCTTGCTTGCTTTAACAAAGGAGTCGTGCATTCGGATAATTAAGATGTTGGCGAAAGAGTTTGAAATGCAACAGAAGCGGTCCTCTCTATTGATAGATACAAGTAAATTATGAATTATGTGATTAGATTCAACCCGGTCGATCATCCAACAAGATGGGACACGGTACAGAATGTCAGGGAGTTCGAAGCTGATGCTTTCGCGAAGTGTGTCAGATTATTCATGACTGAGAACGGAACACACACTCTTGATGATGAACAAGTGGGCTCGCGTGCTAAAGACATTCCGAAAAAGTCTAAAGCAAGGAAGAAAAAGCCATGGGGCTTCAAATCGGACGCAGTCGCATGTGCAAATTTCTTCGCTGTTCTGCTAGTGAGGTTTCATGAGCGTGACTATATGCAGACGTATGCGGTGAAAGATTCATTTTCAAGATTGCAATATGCTTACACTCATCGTCAAACAGTTGGGGGAGCGCAGATGTGTGCAGACCGCGGATACGGAGATGCAACTCTTTGGACAGAGATTGTAGAGAAAGGAATGAATGGTATCATAATCATACATAGTACTGTGTACAATAAGTTTCCGTGGATCGGATAAAGTGCAGATGCGGCCTTCAAATACCCCGTGCAATTCCATTTGCCGGATTTACCAGGTATGGGTGACACACACCAACAGATGTTCCCCATACCCCGGCTAATCACGCTGTTGAAATACTAATTCCAAACATCGGTTCAAACCAAATCATCGCGCTTGTTGGTTCCGACTATGATACTTCCGATCCAGGCTAGCCAACACATACCGAATTCATCCGTGGTCTGGTGCGGCATTGGCTTACCCCCATCCTCGCTTCTCGACCGGATTATGACGGATAACCTGGTCCTTCTCGGTATTTCGTACTCTGCACTAACCCATTCCGCGGCACTACACGACGCAGACCCGATCTGTACCACAGAGGTGGGTACTCTACTTAGTAGGTCAGCAAGCGAATATATGGAACATTCGATAGTATCAGTATTTTGTCAACACCGGCCCGAATTGACTCAGCACATATCTTCCATTGTCGACTCACTTGGCCCAAGCTTCGAACGGGAATTTACTGACCACTTCTTCCCATCAATCTTTCCTGAACCACTACAGCGACTATGATAGCCATACCATATGTTCATACATTGTATCATACATACTTGCCATTTTTGAAATAAATAATATTATCCCTATAGTATCCGCGAGCTGTAAATTGAAGACACCTACTAATGAAGAGGAGGAACGTGAAATTAATCTGATAGCATTTGGGGTTAAGGCAAATGCCACGCAAAAAGGAAAACCATAAGACACCGTGTGATGTCTTAAGACTTAAGATCCATTAGTGAATTATCTTAAACCAACGTACGTTCTTGTGAAACGACCGCGTCCAAAGAAAAAAGTTATAGATCTCATATTATTCTAACCGAGCGAGCTTGGAATTGCAAGACCTCCTGCGACAGTAGCATTTGAGAGCGCACTTCGCGAACATATGACGCCGATCACAGTTGAACAACGATCCAGTGACTGGTTTAGAAGTCGTCAACTCGTTTTCACCAGAACCGTGAGTCAAGTCATAGCTAAGAAAGATACTTCAGTTCGAATATATCTTACTAACAAAAACCAAGCCAATAAGTCTACTACGACACTTCCAAGTTCAGCCGACATGGATTTAGACGAAGAAGATGGCGGAATACTGCACGATACTATGACAGTGCGAAGGCTTGAGGACTATCCAGGCATGTTTCACGTCGTGCATACAAATTTGTTATCATTTGTCTGTTTTGATGTACTACAGCTAACAAGGGAAGATGTAGTAAACACACCAAAATACGATACTAAAACCTACTAAGTCTCCCTGAGGCTCAGTGCGGTGTTTTTATTCTTATATTTGAATGTCTACGTGGTCTACAAATAATTCACCTCGTGTGAATTAATTATAAACTAATTCTAACTCCACACTGATAGTGGGTTAAGGGGACTTTTACTACACTCCCCTCAAGCTCAAACGTCACCAGTGATTGAAGAGCTTCAAAAATAAATCACCTCTTAAACTATTGAAAATTAAACAACAAAAAACTAGAAGTGTAAATTAAACAAAATATATATATATAAACTAGTGAAAATCCTTCAGCTGAGTAAGTTCGTGCCTTGGAAACTGGTCTTTTGAACCATCCCGGCTGTGCTGGTATATTTTCACCCCCCAACAAGCTAGGGTATCCGCTGGTATGTTTTCACCCCCCCCACCCCCCATAAGCTCAAGTTGTGGAATCGTCGTTCGCCTCTACATCGTGGTGAAATCTCACGAGGAGAGACAAACTCCGATCCGGAAGTAGATGGTAGACATCTAGTATTGATCAACGTAACGTTGGAATTATTGGTGTTGTGCCGCTTTCTTCTTCTGGCGAGTTTGCTCGGCTTTGTGATATACAAGGATATCATTCGGATCGTCAAAAGCTTCGGCTGACTCCCAAGTTGGATCACCTTCCCGCCAGCGAACCAAGTATTTTGTATTTCCTGTGGAATCATTCTGTCTATGTCAAATGATGTAACGGAACGAGGAACTATCCTGCCATATATGATCTTCTAAAGGTTTTTCGGTGGCTCTATGGACTAATCGCAAAAGTTCCACTCTAACTGGTTTACCTTTGAAAGTATCTGGAAGTGAACCATCCTTGTGTGTCAGTTCATATCCATGTCCCTGTCTGGCTTTGACAACGTATGGTCCAAACATTGGTCGCTTTGCTTTGGTTGTGCGACCTTTGGACCGTACCATTACCACATCCCCTGGTTGAAAGGCGATAAAATCGTAAGCATGGAGGCGGTCAAACGGCTTGGATAGTGTGTCTGCGTATTTCTGCGTGACCTTGTAAAGCGTCGGCAAGATAGTGTCGTGCAAACGATCCAGCCGGTGTGCCCAAGCCTCATTGGTGACCGGCTGATTCCCCGGAAGGTCATCCGTGAAGTCAGCAAACGGAACATGACGGCGACCGAAGTAAGCACTGAATGGTGCTGTCTTGTGTCGCCGAGATATTTGGAGGTTCTGGCACAGCATAATAAGTGGTATCCGCTGCTCCCAGAACCTGATGACGATATGGTGGCGACTTTGCATGCATCACTCCAACTTCTTGAGTTATTAGTTTAACAATCTTGTTCGAAAACTCGCCTCCCTCGTCTGATTGAATTTTCCTGGGAAAACCATGTTCCACAAACACCTCCATAAGTTTCGATGTCACCACTTCTGCTGACTTTGTGGCCGTTGCTCTTAATATCGAGTACCCCGTTGCTATATTCAAGACGTGCAATATATATATATCGATTTCCTGCTGCTGAAACTAGTGGCATTGGAATTGTAGAAATACGGCCTCCGGTCAGTCTAAAATATCAAGATCAATTGAGATAATACATTGGTTTTTATTTGTATTTTAAATAATTTAATACAAGCTCTTTTTCCAATATTTCCAAAGTGTTCTAAATGCACTTTGATGGCTCCAATTGCCTGAGTATTTGGTATGGCTCATCTACTTGGACCTATTTGAGACATTAGTAGATGTAGGATATTA